ATTTTAGAGGCAGCAGTGAATACTGACAGATTTCCCAGACTGATAAAGTTGTTGTGACAGTTTTTGCAGCAAGTAACTTTACTTTATTTACTTTATTTATTCTTCAAATTCAAAATGTAACCAGGCGGGTTTGGCAGTGAACCGTGTCAGAGGTTAAAAACTGTTGTATAAGAATTTGGAAAAACTGTATTTCATCCATAATGAGTAATTGATTATTGATTGTTTAAGTAGCCAACTGTTGTTAAAGGCAACAAGTTAAAATTTCCATCCCTAGATCAAGGCCATAAAACACTGTTCTTTTTTCCAGGATTAAGTTTCTCTGAACTCAGAGCTAATGTAGGAAGTTAGAGGTTTGAGTCATTCAAGAATACAATCTTTTCTGAGTTGCTTAAACATAACAATAAAATCATTGACTCTGCTTTAGTTGCTGTGTAGTTGTATGTAAGCATCATTTTTGGGAGAAAAGAGCTGCAGGGCTGCCTTGTTTACAGCAGTTATGAAGCTGTAGAGGGGGAGAAGGAGGACGCTCGAATCGATACCAGTGTTTAGAAAGAAGCACAAAAGAACAATTCAGAGGGAGTTTTAAAGTAGTTACAGGAGTGACAGTTAAATTTGTCTTCGACAAAGCAGACACGCACCGACAAAACCCTGACTTATGCTTACTAATCCACTGTATCAATGTAAAGAAGCCTAAGTGAGTTGTCTGAGTGGGATTTGCGAAAACAGAAAAAGTAAAGTGATCCGAGGTGAAAAAGTTACAGAGAAAGTACATTTGGATGCCGAGAATTTCCAACTCTGTCTCTGCCTATAGATTCGGTACACACTGTGCGGCTGCGATGGGCCGATGCATTTCTTCACCGCTTCCGACATCCTCGTGGCAAGAAGATGCTTCCATCCTCTCTCCTCTCTCTGCTTCTCATCATTTTTTTTTTCCTCCTGCCCTCTCCTCCTCCTCCTCCTCTCCTGTCAGCACTGCTCAGTGTTTTACCCAGCAGCCCCGGGCATCCCTGGCGGCTGTTCACAGCACTAATGGGGCACTGAGAGAGAGAGGGAGAGAGGGACACGTTGAGGAAGAGACAAACGATTGAGGTGTGAGTAGTGTGGTAAGAAAGAGAAGACTGATCGATACCAGAGCCCCATGGGCAAGGCAGCACACCGGGCACTCGGCAGGTGATGCCTTTCAGCGCGAGGTTTTCCTGCGAGTGTGTCAACTGCCTGCTTGACCCGATCATCCAGACAGCGTTCATCCGCTGTGAATTTAAACAATTATTGATTCCTCGCATCGATTCCCAGCTTTGATTTTTAGTTTCCCACGTGTTTTCTCGTGTTCATAAGCATCTTTCCACACAGCAGTCACACACACTGATCTATTGTCACCGGCATGTGTGTGTGTGTGTGCGCAGGGAGGGGTTGTTATCGGTGATAGAAAATGAACAGAATAGCGACCATAAATACAGAAAACAATCAAACTCGGATTCCACACCTACGTGCTTTATGTGCCTGCAAGACATATAATGTGACTTTTACAGGGCGGTTTCAAATTGAAAGTGATGACATCGCTGCGGAGGGCCAATATTTGTGGCTGACTGTATGTACGCTGCAGGCAACCGCGGTGAAATACCACTGCAACAATGTGATGTAAACTGTGATAAAGCGTGGCACGGATAAACAAACATAAAACTGCTGCATCAGTCCCCGGAGGTCTATTCTTCACTCGTCGCCATTGTGCAAGTTTCCTGGAGTGTAATTGTTTGAGAAAGTTGAATTATGTTTTTCTTTTAAGATGAGAACGGGATGGTGCGAGGCTATAATTGCAGATATGAGTTTTACAGTGTGTCGTAGTCTATCTGCTCATCTCCCTCGAATGGGGGGTTGGATGGGGGAGTCGCTTGATTGGTTCGTGGGATTTCATTTGTTGTTACTGGAAAATCTACAGTGCAATGCATTGTATCAGACCGAGCAATACGCTGAACAACCACCACATCCGCTCCACAATATTCAGCAGGAAATAAGCACAAGTTAACAAAATTCCTTCAGTTTGCAGGTTTAAATTGTACTGATTATACCTGACTGAAGCTGGTTTGTCGAAATTATTTTTCTGATTATTGAATTTGACTGTCAATTAAGTGGCAGGGGATGTGTTGTGTTATTGGACAGGAATGCCTGTCTGAGCTAGATAACAGACAGAGTGGTTGTGATATTTATGACAAACCAAAAATCAGGATCAGCTCAGCCAGTGCAGGAGAACATGTGGCACCACTGCGGCATAGTTGGTGGTTACCGTCATCCATCCATTCACTTCCTGCCAGCTGTTCGGACCAGTGTTGTGGTGGCAGCAAGTTAAGCAATTCATCCCTACATCCGTCTTCTCCCTAGCCAGGAACTGCAGCTCCTCCTGGGGGATCCTGAAGCTTTAACAGACCAGACAGGATACATAATCCCTACCACAGCCTGCCTTGTGGTCCAGGCAGTCTAGTTACCCTAAGCCCTGGACCACATTTGTGCTGCACCAGTTCACCTTGTGATCAATAGCCCAGTTTACACGAACCTCCTTCTCACAAGGCAATCGACTTGATCCAGAACCTGAAGACAACAATCTGCTATTTTCCAGCAGAGCCGCTACTTTATTGTCCATTAATTTTACATTAAATGGAAATTTGTCTTTGGCACTTGTCTTCAGTTGGTTTTTTATGATGTCCCTGTTCAGAATAATAAGAGCAGAGGGTACAAATGAGTTTTTAAGCCATTTTTCCTGGCTAGAGTTTCCTTCCAGGTGTCATTATAGACCTGAGTCGCCTTCTCGGTGGTGGCTACATCCTGGAGTTGTTCGCCTCCACTGGGTCAGCTTGTTCCTCAGAGGTTCATATCAGATATTTAAAGTTAGTCACCTGTTCACCTTCCTGTCCTTCCATGGCTTAAACATGCCTGATGCTGCCTGCTCCCATCCTCCATCGTCCCCTCCCAGATACAACGTCTTGGTGTTAATCACACTGAGGTCAAAGAAACTGCCATCAAAACAGGTGAGAAGGTGGTTGTTGTGCTGAGAGGAGGAAGGACTGGTGACAGCTTCCAGTCTGGCAATCAGGAGCATGTCATCAGCGTAATTAATGAGAGAGAGGACTTTGCTGTTTATGGTTTAGCTCAGATGTGTTTGTAGAGAATCGGAAGAGGAGATAAAATATGTAAATAACGTGGAACACCAGCGTTCTATTAATATAGACTGGCTGTTCAGAGGTGGAGCTGCCAAACATGGTGGCATTTCCAAAAAAAAGCGGAGATTCAGTCCCGACTTTGCAACCAATCGACTGTTTCATGTTTACATTGACGCCTGCATGCCCAGTTTACATGAATGTTCATGTGATGTGCATTTTTAGGCAACCTTGTCCCTACAACATTAGGTTCCTGTACAAGTAGCCAACCCAGTAATACACTTCAGTTTTTAAAAGAAATGTTATTTTGTTCTGAAATAAATATATTTTAGTGACATAGTTGGAAAGGTTTTTGGTTGGAGAGAGTTTTGAAGTCCACATGAGGAGGCAGGAGGTGATGATGATTATTTTCACTCATTTACTTTTGATTGGTTTGGTTTAGGAACAAAAAAGTATATGGTTAGGTTTAGAAAAATATCATGCTTTGGTTAACTTTCAATGTAATACGGTAACTACTTGTCAGAAGCTTGGTCATGTTTAGGCACCAAAACTACAAGATGAAGGCTGGTAAAGTACCATTTAGATTTAAATATGACCCTTTGCTCTTACTTTTATTATTATTAGGGTCCGAGCACCCAAAAGGGTGCGAAGACCCTATTGGAACTGCTCGGATTATTATTATTATTATTATTATTAGGGTCCGAGCACCAAAGGGTGCGAAGACCCTATTGGAACTGCTCGGATTATTAGGGTCCGAGCACTAACGGTGCAAGGACCCTATTGTATCTGTTGTGATTATTATTAGGGTCCGAGCACACCAGTGCAAGGACCCTATTGTAACCGTTGTGATTATTATTATTATTATTTATTATTATTTATTAGGGTCCGAGCACTAACGGTGCAAGGACCCTATTGAAACCCTTGTGATTATTAGGGTCCGAGCACACCAGTGTGAGGACCCTATTGAAACCCTTGTGATTATTATTATTATTATTATTATTATGGTACGCAAAGTTTGAGCGCGTTTTTGAGGGCCTAAACGTGCTCGAAAACTCAC